TCTCAATGTGTGGTTTACTTTCCTTGTCCTTGATTGGACACTGTGATTTACTATATTCTCTTGGTAGATTATTCTTTGTATTATATAACTGTGTCATATTTCTTTCTCTTGCAACTTTTTCGCTATCTTCGCTTGGCGTTCCACATATTTCCGCTCCTGTTCACTCGCTTGTTTGCTTCGGTATATTCTCCTTGTGCCTTGGCTTTCTCTGCTGTTGTTCGGCTGTTCGTAATTACTGTTTTCTTGTACTTCCTTCTTTCCATCCTTTACTTTTGTTCAGGATATCAATAGAGACATACTGTTTATGACGGTTCTACTTGCAACCGAGCAGCTCCAGTCATGTTGACGTTGATGCTTCATAATCCCTTTCCGGTTGTTGTTCATAGTAGTTTCAACTTGTTTAAGAAATCTCAGCAAGTGTGATAACTACAGGTGTATCACTCGTCTCTCAATACCAGGGAAATTCTTCACTCGGGTATTGTTGAACAGAATGAAGGACTCCGTTGATGCCCAACTTCGAGACCAACAGGCTGGACTCCGTAAGGATAGATCGTGTACTGACCAAATCGCAACTCTACGGATCACTGTGGAACAATCAATTGAATGGAATCCATCACTCTACATCAACTTAATCGAATATGAGAAAACATTTGATAGAGTGAACAGGACAACACTATGGAAGCTTCTTCAACACTACGGCATGCCCGAGAAGATAGTCAACATCATACGGAATTCCTATGATGGATTAAATTGCAAATTCATGCGTGGAGGACAATTGACAGACTCGTTAGAGGTAAAGAACTGTGTCAGACAAGGTTACTTACTCTCACCCTTTCTCTTTCACCCGGTGATCGACTGGACTATGAAAACGTTAGCATCTGGTAGCATGGAATACAGTGGAAAGTTTAGATGCAACTAGACGATCTAGACTTCGCAGATGATCTGGCCCTTCTATCCCAAACGCAACATCAAATGCAGGAGAAGACGACCAGTGTAGCAGCAGCCTCATCAGCAGTAGGTCTCAACATACACAAAGAGAAAAGCAAGATTCTCCGATACAGCACAGCGTGCACCAATCCAATCACACTTGACGGAGAAGCTTTGGAGGATGTAAAGACCTTTAAGTATCTGGGCAGCATCATTGATGAACAGTGTGGATCTGATGCAGATGTGAAGGCGCGGATCGGCAAAGCAAGAGCAGCATGTTTACAACTGAGGAACATCTGCAACTCAAAGCAACTCTCAACCAACACCAAGGTCAGGATTTTCAATACAAATGTCAAGTCAGTTCTACTGTATACGGCGGAAACTTGGAGAACTACGAAAGCCATCATCCAGATAATATAAGTGTTTAATAACAGTTGTCTACACAAAATACTTCAGACCCGTTGGTCAGACACTTTCAGCAACAACCTATTGTAGGAGAGAACAAACCGTATCTCAGCAGAGGAATAAATCAAGAAGCGCTGGAAATGGATAGGACATACATTGAGGAAAGCACCGAACTGAGTCACAAGGCAAGACCTCACTTGGAATCCCAAAGGACAATGGAGGAGAGGAAGAACAAAGAACACATTATGCTGAGAAATGGAGATAGACATGAGAAGAATGAACAACAATTGGATAGAAATAGAAAGGAAGTTTCAGGACAGAGTGTGTTGGAGAGTGGTGGTCGGCGTCCTATGCTTTATTGGGTGTAAGGCGAATGTGGTAGAGGAATTTTATTGGGGATTTGATGGAGTGTTTGGACCAATACACTAAATGTTTCAATATTCGTGATATTTCTCATGATAAATTTTATTCTGTGTTCCGGATGTGCTACAATTCTACGCTGTGGGTTGTTTGGTTTGTGTTTTGATATTTGTCCTACTTTGACGAGCTTGATTAAAGTCTTTGAGATTCGGTTGTCTAACCTTTTGACTGGATTTGTGTCCACCGCTGTAGATATTCTTTTATCCCCAAGTAGTTCCTCGGCTTTCATGATATATTTTTCTTTGTCCATAATCACTGTGGTGTGTACCTTGTCCGCTGCAACGATGACAACACCTTCTCTGATTCTGAGTTTCTTTAAATCCTTTTATTCTTGTGAAGTCAGTTGGGTGCTGTCTTTCATTCGTGGAGTTAGTGGTACTATATTTTGTCTTATTTTTTGTTGCGTTTCTTCACTCATTCCGGCAGTTTTGAGTAGTGACTCAAGTGTAGCGAAGAATTTCAAATTTGAGGAGTCATTGGTCCTCCCGGTCTCCTCCACTGTTTGGATATTCCATGTACCTACATTAATTGTCGCTCTGGTTGTCAGAAGGGCCATCGGACTCATGACTTCTGGAAAATCTAGTCTTCCACTTGGGGTCGTCAGAACTCTTCTGAATTATTGTCCTTCAACTCACAGGAGAGAGTTTGAATGATTGAAATGATTTTTCTGACTAGCTATTTTTCAGAAAGGTTTAATAAACCCATGCACAAACTTGCTTCCTTATTCCTGTTTCGGACTAGCAGTGAACCTAAAAGGGCTGAGGGCGGAGTTATAAATGGTCTTCTAGACACTGAGTTTGCTCCAGACAGACTGAAGCCAATATTTTCAGATAATTTATGTCCTACTTGTTCATAAAATAAATATATTTACCATTGATTCTGATCTGTAGAATAGACTAATAAGAGTGATCAGTGTTATTTCGAAAACTATCACACGATTTGTCATTTGTCTTTTGTGGAAGCCGTACCGTGTGTGTTGGTTTTTCTTTCAGTCACAATGACCTTAGATTCCTTTCTACGCACGCATTAGTGTTTTGACTAAATCGTTTAAAATATTGAGTCGTGTTTAATAAATGTATTATTGTGGTTTTGTATTTCTATGGTGAGTGGATTCCATTTGTGACTGTTTCATTGTCTCTTTTCCATGTGGATGTGGAAAATCAATGTTTTTTGGTATGTATGCAATGTAAACATAATGTCTGATCAGCCTAATCGGATGATGTTGTACTTGAGTTTAATTTGTCATTTTTATTCATATGACGTGATTGTAGTTGATACTTTCTCTCACTGCTCTTAGGAATCTGAGAGAGAATGTCGTTCTGCAATACCACCGCCACCGCCACCGCCACACCACCTCCTCCACCAGCTCCTTCGTCTTTACAACGGAACTCCACTATGCGTGCTAATTATTCGGATCCATCACTTAAAGATTCAGGTAAGTCCGATTAGTACTTTGTTGAAATGAGTGATTCACGAAATGATAACTGATCCTTTGTTTCGCTGTAATTAGTTGCAAAATTAATTTTGTCGTTTTTTAAGAAGTTAATTTTACCACTGACTTTTCCACATTTGTAACTTAGTAATTTTGTTATGGTTTTGATTGTTAGATTACACGAAGCTGTTTTCTGTGATGTCTTAATTTGTTGTTATTTGCAGCTATGTTAGTTCCATATCTGTCGCGTGTTACTACATCTTAAACTTGTTCTACTTTTTTTACTGCGTCAACTCATTCTTCTGTAATCATATTCTGTGTAATTGATCTATGTTATTACGTCGAAGAATGCTGATCGGTGGCCTATGCTCGACTAGGAGTAACAGGCGTAAGTATTTCTACCACTATCGCTTCTGCTCTGATATTAGTTGTTTATGTTCCGTTCTCTGTGCCAAGGACATTAGCAACATTGGCGGATCCAAATTCCTACTATGTGTTTATCTTGTTTTTGGCAAACTTTTATTTTTCTTGCTGGAGTTGGAGATTATTGTTTCATAAGTCAAGCCTCTAAATTTCATATCTTTCTTCCCCAAAATTTATAAAATGATAAATAATTTTCATAACTTTTGTCCTGATTGTATATATCTTTCTTATTTATAAAAAATTACGTTCGAATTTACTTAAAATTCAGGAGTGAAACCTGTCAGAAGATTATCAACAACAGTTTCATTTAATTATAAACATAATTTAAAATCTCCCAGTATAGAAATGCTTACGGAATTGACAGATGCTTTCAAGTCTTTAAAAAAATGTACGAACATAATCGATGCCAAGAATGTAGATTTTTCGAAAAAACTTCCTGTACATCGAGGCAGAATTAAGTCAGGTGAGTTATTGATTGAAATATTTTTTGATTTATTGATTATTTGGTGCACATATCATTAATATTTTTGAACAAAAATAATTTTTAGTATATGATAATTCATTCATTCAGTCAGTTAACAACGTAGAACTTCGTACATACGTACATCAGTTCGAGTTGTCATAACAAAATAGCACACAGATACAATAGTCTATTCAAATCTCATGGTGGTAGAGATAGTAAGAGTATAAGCAGTAATCGTAAACATTAGTGTTTCAAGATGTTACTCAAGAAGTATAATCCAGTGAAATAAATTTGGAAAGAGAAAGAAGTGACATAAAGAATTCAGAAGATTATGATAAATTATTACTCTTAATTTAATCATCATTTGGTTGATTCATCATAAAAACTGATCATTTGTATCTATTTCGATATGTCTATTGATTGTCAGGTAACATGAATGCCGTACTTCAAGATATTTTCTAGGTTTTTTTTAGCTTACTGGATTGCATATTTTGACACTTTACCAGTTAAATTCATATCCGTGTTATCACATTTATCAATACGTACAGAGAAAATGTCAAAAATATCCATCGATGTGTCTGATTCCACTTTAGATATCACTGACTAAACACTACGGCATTGGGAGAACTAATATTGAATATGGAAATCATCAGTCATCCACATAATCATACTTCAACCCGAACTAAATAAACTCTTACTAAAACATCATTGAAACCCCCACAGTTAAACCATCCATCTCAAATAGCGTAACCAACACAAAAGTAAGCTCTTATCTTGTCATCTTATCACCCTAACATAACGTTGTTCTCATGTGACAAAATTAGATTGATGCTTGACTACTCAGAGTCAAGAAAGTTAGTCTCATCAATATTTCTATCATAATACTGAATAGAAATAAAAATATTCGTTATTCCTAACATATCGAAATAAATGCAATTTCTAATGATGAATTTTGGCAAACCGTTGGCTCACTGCTTCACTTTTATCTGGAAATCATTTTTACAATATGGTATGCCTCTTATACGTTTTCTTTAATAAACAGATTTGTTGAAAAACTTCATATTGAATAGAGTTATATGCTCTTCTGCTTCATATATGTGATCGTGTTCATAAACTCCGAGGAAGATTGAGGTTCATATTGATTCACTTCCGAGTATACCCTGTTGTCGTATTGGTTTCGCTGTTGGAGTGCAAGACAGTAGTGAAAGGACTACATCCTCCAGGATTTTAAACTTTATATCTTGATGTTAGATTTTCTCACGATAGTAAAAGTAAAACACGTGTAAATCGTCAGCAATTTTGAATGAACACAACACCAGTCACCCATTACCAACATTGGACATGCCACGAGTGCATATTGGTCCTAGTTGTCACCATTACTAGGGGCTTCGTTTGGTTAATATTTCAACATCATCCAAATATTCTATCTATTGAGTTATTTATTTGTTCATGATATGAATTCACTCATTTATTCAATTACTTCTCTCATATTTCTTTTTTCCGTCCTTAACATTTCGCCTTGTATACAGCTATTCGACAAAATCCACCTGATACTTCAAATAATGGATATGATAAATCGAACAATGTAATGCCATCGGTTATAGAATCTGATGATTGTTGTTCTGTGGACACATCGTCGTAATTATCATTGAATGCTTTGAAACATTAACCTTAGTGGTAATAACCAATTCCAAGTGATGTCTATCAATGTGAAAAAGTATGTTTCACAATTTACATACTTTGAAGTAGATTTATCTTGTTTATTGATCTATGTTTAGTTCAGTAAAATGATATTCATACCACTTTGTTGGTTATGCTCCATTAATTAAATGACTTATCTTGACATTGTTCTAAATTGTTGAGACTAATATTTCTTTTCTAGATAATGCGATAAGAATATAAAGTTTATGAGAACTATGTTTCCCTTGAAATTAATATAGTTTACATTGCGTTCATAGATAAATGTAAATACCACTACAGAACACATTGTAATTGATATTTCTTACTGCTTAGACACCGACACTTCAGCATTGTTTAACTACTAAGTAGTGGAACAGTAGATTCACGTTTACCTATTTGTATAGATATTCATTTGAGTGTTGTTAAATTAATAACAGATGTTAACCTTATTGAAATCATTCAGTTATTGGTGTGAGCGACGTAGGTATATATAGACTACCCGGTTTTGGTTTCCTTACGAAAACCACGATTAGCAGTCGAATACGTTGGGTCACATAGTTCAAAACTCGTCACAACAGCGTGAATGCATTCACTCGTTATTTTCTTGTAGACCTTGAGTTCCACTCTGTATTTTCGAGCCATATTCTCAATTTAAAGCATTCCTCAGTATCATCGACGCTCCAATAATCTCGACTATTTTGCAATTCATCATCTTAAATCTATGTAATTATTTTCAATCAGTCAAACTCAACGTAAAATCTGTCACGTGAATACAAGTTCCTATAGCCTATTAGTTCGTCTGTATGAAATTGTGAGGGTAGATCACAAAATAGTAGAGATGGTAGTAGTATTAGTAAAAATAGAAAATATTATGTATCCAAAACACAATTCAATTGGAAATTATAAAACAGTGTATTAAAAAACATTTATAGACTTAGAATCTAAGGAAATACTGGGAGTGAATCTACCTGATCATTTGCAAACAATTTTGAACCATTCATTCCAGTGTCCAACTATTAGTTACGATAATCGCGTGGACCCCAAGCGGAAATCTACATCTCTCTATATATGTCTCATTACAGTAGTCAGTGTGATTATGGACTGATGCGATGTCTTGGTTTGTCCGGCCCTAGCTCTCCTTCAATCTACACCTATATCGTACATCGTTGCTCGTCGAAGAAGTAACACATGTCCCAACTATCTCAATTGAGGTAGATATACTACCTCACCAATTGATTTCCCATTTTTACCTAATACTCTATTCCTAACCCAAACATTTCTTGTTTTGTAATCTCACTGTACACAAGCAATGCATTCTGGACACCTACAATGTAATACCAGTAGTCTACGTATATCTCATCCTCTTAATGACCATGTTGCACAATAATGATATGGCCAACTCTTATATGAACTATAATCTAAAATGGTTGTGTTTGATTGGATGAAGTGCCCTGGGGATTAAATAGGATATGACGGTTATGCTTGTAAATATTGTTGTAAAATTAATAATTTAAATCAATTTGTTGTGTAACTGTGAGATTGTACAACTATTCTAGTTTCTTCACTAATCAGTGTTATAATATACATTGTAACGTTTTTTGAGAAGAATATTTACATAGTCTAAATGTCATTTTCATTCCAATTCACTGTAAAGCCAAAGAAATTCGGAAGAATTGTTTTACTTCAGTTTGCAACTTCATTTAATAACTAGTTATAGTGTTATTTTTTGTGAGACTTGGAAATTATACATTCGATCGTATGTTTGTCACACTTCCCTACATTTAAAGAATCCCGAGCTAGAACAAAACGTCTGTCATCTAATCACAGTTAATATTCGTTTGTGTCGATTTATATCTTGAAACTACAAAATACTTCAAAAAAACTCAGGTAAATATACAAAACAATTTTTTGGTGAACCTTCAAAATTTATGGATCTACTCATTATCGTTTCGTGAACATCTATAAAATTCAGAAGTCATTCATCATCGCCTAATTAATATTGATTTTATTATCTCCAGTTGCCAAATCTGTCAGTTTTTGTTGTAAAAGTCATAATGAGATCTAATTAATCACAAATTCGTTACAATCACGTCTCATGGTATGTAACTGCACTATTTGATATTGTCCGCTATTGGAGATTATATTGTCTTATGTAGCTTAAGAACACATTATTACATAACATACCATTCTTTAATTGTGTTTTGTTTTCAGGTCATGAAGGTCATTCAGAGAGATCGAAAATTCAGTCGGATAATTAAATTTATTTATTTTACATTCCTTATTGTACACACACACACACAAACACATTTGTTTTAATTTAAAAAGATGATTTCATTTTGTTTGTATGAAACAATTAAGAACATAAATATACTTTGGTTTGTTATCTTCTTTGCATAAACACATTATGAATAATTATGAATGAGAAAACGTGGAAAAGTTGAATTTTCAGTATGAGGCTCCGAAATAATAGATACTGATGACTTATCGCTTGGTCAAACCTGTCTAAAGAATAGTAATTCCTCCGGAATAAGATTTGTGAATCATTTAAATATAATAACAATGATATACTGGTTGGCACAGTCAATTATCATGATTTCCGTTTCACTCATGTAAATTCTTCGTAAGATAATATAAACTAAATACGATATTATTGAGTCTTTTCATTTTCCTCTTCAAAAACGGATACTTATGTATGAGAGTCTTCACCCATATATACGGAAGAATGAAGGGAATGGTTAGTATTTTATCAAATAACATATAATAGCTTTTGTGAGATTTCAAATAACTATCATCAACCATCTTCATAATAAAGCCAAAACACAAACCATCATAGCTACGTGTATACTTCAAGGTCCTACGATGCACAACATGATCTCTTCTTATACATTTGGGAAAGAAAAACGGTGATTTAAGACGATAGATAGTGAGTAATGATTGATCGACGACAAATGTAAATTATTGGTAGTTCCAGAAAATACATAGCTTATTTAAAAATTGAGTTATTCTATAAATATCTTTCCGTGCTGGTAAAACGTGATAAGATTAAGAAAGCAGTAAACTATTGGTCACGACTAATGACATCTGAAATATTTTTCATGATAGAACCATCAATTTTCTCCAGTTATACTCTGTGAGTAGCACGTATTCTTTGTGTCACCTAACAGCTAGCTGTACATATACAGAAGCTGAGTGTTAAACAATTTAAATATATCGTCGTGCAATCTTACCTATTAAATCATGTATGTCGAAACAATCAGAAGAGTAAGAAACTGGCAGACATACAGTTGTCTGTGCTCTACGACGTTTTCTCTGTTGTGACTGATTTACTCACTACTTCAACAAACGTATTCACTTCAGAATCGAGAATTTCAATTGGCAATCTGACAATGATTTTATTATCAGTATAACGTCGTACAAATTGTTGAGTTTAGATTGATATTATGAATGCTGGAAAACCATTGAAAGCCTGGTAGCACTAGGACGGCCGTTTCGTGCCATTACAGAACCCATCAGTAGTGCCCATCCACGATCCCACACCAAAGAGACTCGAACACAAGACCATCAGTCTCGCGATCGAACGCTTAATATCTACATCACTGAGCTGACACACAACGGTGTTAATGTCTAACTTCAACCAATCCACCACCATCACCACATTGTCATCAGTGAGTAACTACTTCACAACAGACACGGTCCAACTCCACTGGTCATGGCTTCTCACTAGAATTCTCGAAAATCTATCTTGTAGCCAATCACTAGTCAAGATAGATGTCCTAAACTTGTATTAAGTAGCCGTGACCAATAAATTTCAACCATGTCTGTTAAATAAATTGTTGTTATTGTTAAGAAATTAGCACTAATTATCGATCTATAATTCTGTTGTATTCAAATTATTATTTAAAAGTATTCAGATACCAGATAGTGCATTATACTTCTTAACTCAACGCTTAAACATACGACTTATAGACATAGTTTAAATAAGTTTAATGGCCTTCAACTTTAGTTAATCAGTAAGTCAATTCATGCACAATTAATGATTACAATTTCCAAAATACCGTCTTGAAATAAAGAAAAACTGAAATGGTCTTTTAATTAGCAACATTAAATGAGTTTTGTCTTCCAAATTTTTATGAATTCTAATTTAGTTTACATCAGAATTTTAGAAAATACACGATCAAGCTATTTTCAATCATGTGATATGTAAGCTGAATATACTTCGAACTGTCTGGTCACACATTCAGTTGTTGAGTTGACTTTCTATTGAAAACCAATGGTCAATCCGACAAATCGAGAGGTAGATAATAAATGGCTATTTAATAGGATTGTTTCTATCCAAATAAATGATACTAATCTAGTTAAGGTGAGCTTATTAAACAAAACACTGAGAGAGATTGTTTATCCTCCAAAAAAGGCAATCGATGAGATCTTAAGTGAGACCTACTAGTCTTCTGAAATCAGACAAGCCTGTCTATATCACCTTACCACACAGTGGTGGCTCGAATACACAATTATGGTAAAGACATGAACCAAAGTTGACTAATATTCTTTTTAAAACAAGGTTTGTGGTTCACCGAAGATATACACAGAATGTAAACAATTGCTCTTCAAATCCCTAAGTTTTCCGATTTACTTGCATGTGTCCAAATAAACATAAAGATGAGTATTCGTGATATTCACGTTAGAATATCTGAACATGTACCAGAGTGGCTCAAAAAACAAATAAAGTCAAATGACTCAGTAATGGCAGATGACAAATACCCATCTTGCTTTATTGCTAAACATATATTCGAAACAGTTTACATGCTTGATCGTAACTCAGCCTTTGCAGTTTTGTACAAACGTTATATAGAGGGTAGATTTGTCAAAGACTCAACCAGTCAGAATCCAACAGTAAATAAATCCCCAAAATATGTAACTTTATAGGTTTTCGGTAATTATACCAGGCACAGTATTATTGCTGGA